GAATTCTTGGATCTTTTTCACTTTAATCAACCACCAACCACTGATCAGAGTCAGATGATGATTATTGATGAGCTCATGATCAGTTCACCTGATTGATCTTCACCAGACGACACACACACACACACACACTATCCAGGCAGACCAGTGGACTCTGCTCTCATTGGTCCATTATGTACATTTGAAGACCATTAGACTCTGACTATTGGTCCATCCATCACACATTTATCTGCTGCCCTGTGAACGGGACGACAGTTCGCCTGTCGCCCTGCAGATCCATGGGCCACGATCACCATGATGATGATGATGATGATGATGATGATGATGATGATGTGCACATTTAGATGAAGACATCAATGATCTCTCTGGACACCAGCTGTTTGGCCTGGAGAATATGGAGCTTTAATAGAAAAAAAAAAAACGTTCAAGTTGATCTAATCTGAGGCCAATGTTTCAAAACAAAGCGTATATTTATATCTATATAGATATATAGATATAAATATATAGATATAAAATGTAAATATAATAATAATCTCAGTCTATTAAAGTGTTATTTCTCAGGCCAAACTCCATGAAGACAATGTTGGATTTCAGCTCCTAGAACATGACAGTCACTGTTCTCTCTCTGTTCCAGTTATAAATGTGTCACCAATGAAATATGAAGAAAGTATTTCAACAGCAAAATTAAAAGAATTGCACAATTGACCTTAGAAGTAAAGACAGCAAAGGTCAAAAAGGCCTTAACGGGGTTTTTGTGGCAACGGAAACGTCAGTTTTCAGTGGACGAAGTTGGAGATCAGTTGGAGATCAGTTAGAGATCAGTTGGAGATCAGTCGGAGATCAGTTGGAGATCAGTTAGAGATCAGTTGGAGATCAGTCGGAGATCAGTTGGAGATCAGTGAAGATATGGTTCAGTGACTGGTGTAGATTTCCTTAAAAGCAGTCGAGGCAACAGAGTCAAGACTGTCAATCTGGTTAGTTCTTCAGTAGATTTGACACGACACTATCTCACACACACACACACACACACACACACACTCACTCACTCACTCAGAGCGTTGGCAGCAGTGAGTGACATTTCAGCCAATAATACTGGAGAGTTTTCCTCCCTCCCTTGTCAGCCGTGCTTTATCAATCACTGTGTCTGCATCAGTATCAGAGGACTGATCTGGGAGCTGCTGGTCTCCTCCCCTGTGTCTCCTCTCCTGTGTCCCCTCTCCAGTGTCTCCTCTCCTGTGTCTCCTCTCCAGTGTCCCCTCTCCTGTGTCCCCTCTCCTGTGTCCCCTCTCCTGTGTCTCCTCTCCAGTGTCTCCTCTCCTGTGTCTCCTCCCCTGTCTCTCCTCTCCTGTGTCTCCTCTCCAGTGTCTCCTCTCCTGTGTCTCCTCTCCAGTGTCCCCTCTCCTGTGTCCCCTCTCCAGTGTCTCCTCTCCTGTGTCTCCTCTCCTGTGTCCCCTCCCCTGTGTCTCCTCTCCTGTGGCTCCTCTCCTGTGTCCCCTCCCCTGTGTCTCCTCCCCTGTGTCCCCTCTCCTGTGTCTCCTCTCCAGTGTCCCCTCTCCTGTGTCTCCTCTCCTGTGTATATTGCCACTGTTGCCCCATGGATCATATTACCCATCGTAGTGGCAGATTCTTGTCAATACTTGCCCCAGTCTTTAAAGAGTTCAATCAGTGTCCAGCTCTACAACTTTCTAAATGTTGGAACAGATTTTAGTTCCTATTTTAGATCCAATGGTTGAATAGCAGCGTTGGTTGCTAAGCTACGCTGGGGAGAATTCTGGACGTATAAACTTTTGGCTGTCTGTCGACTAATGTTCATATTTTTACAGTGTTCTTTCACCGACTTTGGACAATTACTGACTAACCTTGTTAGCTTGTTAATCTGGTTAGCTTCCTTGTTATTTTAATTTGTCTTTACTTCCTAACATTTTATCTTAATTTACCAGTAATAACAAAAGAAAAACACATTTAAGAATAAGTTCCACTCAGCAGCAGTGGGACTCAAGTCAATCTTTCTAATTAGTTTATATATTTAAAAAAAACTGTAAATTTGGGAAATCTTAAAGAACGTGATGAAAGCAGCCGCTGGGACGGAGCTGCGGAGCATTAGGAGCTGAAGCTGTGGTTGAAGCTTGGCTGGAACTCAGTGGCTGCTGAGAATTGAACTGATTAAATCAAGCAGAGCAACACAGCAGCGCTGACATGAAAACAACAATTAATACGACGTCCAACAGGGCCGCGCCGCTCGCTTTCACTGAGCAGCTAATAACATCGCCCACAGGACACACACACACACACACACACACACACAGACACAGGTGGCAGCAGTTAGTTACTGAGCGTCTGTGGTTCATTATCTCTAACTAACTAACATTAACCACATCCACCGGCAGAAAAACTGAGATGAAATCCTTTATAAACATCAAGTCTTTACTCCTGCAGAAATATTTATTACAAAGTCGTTTTTATGGAAGTATAACTTTTTCTCAGCAGTCGTAAAAACAGCCAAAAAGGCTAAACGCTAACATAAAACACCTGGTAGCTGAACAGTAAACAGTATTAGCCAATATTAGCCACCAAAGCTAAAAAAGTGTTTGTCAAATATCATGTGACCTAATTCACAGATTTTTCCGTAAACTTTTCTGTAAATATACCACGATACGACGACTGTTGCTCCGGTTTCTGTTTTTCCGTCTCTTCAGCCGCTCTACTACTATTGTACTTCTGTTTGTAGTACTCTCTGTGTACAGATTGAAGTCATAAAGACTTTATGTCCACAGCTGGAGTTTTAGCGGGGTGTCATGGCCGCCGCTGACACGTCGCAGATGTAGGGGGAGCTAGAGTTCAGGCTGCAGCTGTTCTACCTTGACTTTGTCGTGTTTGGACCACGAGGCCGTTCAGTTCTCAGCTGCTGCTCTCACACACACACACACACACACACACGTACTACATGTTAGCTTAAAGTACAGTGCAGCTAATGTGGTGTCAAACTCCAGGCCCACGGGCCACTTCTGGTCCACGACCCCCAACATCTGGCCAGTGACTAAACATCGATAATTTCTTCACTTTTTCATTTTTTCTTTTTTTAAATCAATTATAATTTTTTTATTAGTTAATTGTCAAAAAGTATCAATACCAGCTGTTTCTGGGGGGGGCAGTTGTACTAAACGACGTGGTGCTCAAGCTGTGGCACCCCTGATCTACAGGTCAGCTGAAATCATGTTCAACATTTACATTTGATTTTTTAGAGGCACAAAAACAACACAATAAAAATCATTTAAATGTTCCAACAAATGAGAGACGACTTCTGTCCTCATTAGAGAAACATGTCTCTGTGGAGCTGCTGTTTGGACAGATTGATGTCCTCACACACACACACACACACACACACACACAGCCTCTGTAACTTGAACTCTGGCCCGACCCTCACACTCCTCTCCATCATTTTTACGCCTGCTCTGAATGTGTGAGAAACGGGGAGTTGAGCTGAACTTTGACCTTTGCTTTGCTGCGTGTCGTAAAACCGAGCGGGAAAATCCTGCGTTCTTCAAAGCCCAACAAAAACAGGAGTCTCTTTGATGATGAAATCCCTGGTTCTGACCTCGGAGCCGGCCCAGTTCTGGACCGCTCTCCACGTCGGGCTGTGTGTGTGTGTGTGTGTGTGTGCCCATACATCCCTGACTTCCTGTGTGAAAATGATGGATGACAAGTTAAATTTGTGTCTGGGGAGTGAAGGTGAAGTGTGACAGAGTGATTTGTCTTGGGAATGGAGAAGGTTTTAGGGTCAGGGCGAGAGAAAACCGGGCGCCTCAAGGCACAAGACATTGACAAATTCATCCTGGAACCAACGACCCCCCCACCACCCACCCCTCTTCACAGTAAATGACCCTGTAGTAGATGACTCTAAAGGCATTTTTGGGAATAAAAAATAAAATAAATAAAAAGCTTATAGATAAGATTTAATCAAAAAATAACAAAATTAATGAGCCATTGTCTTTTTGTTTAATATTTACTTTTGCAGAATTCTATTTTGGCAGTCTGTAGGGACAACTCCATGCATCCAACGGTCTGATATCAATGGACGAACAATAACAACCCTTATTAAAATAACAAAGAAAATAAAGGCACTGTCAGTTGACAGACAAGACAAAAGGCTGTTCTGGATTCAGTTAGGTTTGCAAGGAGAATGTGCTATTGTCTCATGTGATTACAACGGAAACAGCGTTCACATCATTGACCAGGCACTAAGGTAAGTCTTAGGTATTCAACATAAATTCTGTGAAATATAAATTCTTACATAAGAAACACACACACAGCCTGATGAGAAACTTTGTTGGTCGTAGTACAACTACTCTGTAAAACTATAACCAGTCATGGCTTCAGTACAAATGAAGTTGTTGGTACAATTACCAGAGAAAAGTACTTTGATGTCTCTGATACCCCCCCCCCCCCGACCTCTCTGACCCCTTTTGTTGTGACCACAGGTCGGTGTCAGGCCTCAGAACCTTCACACAGCTGGAGGAGCTGGTCCTGGACAACAATCTTCTGGGGAACGAGCTGAGGTTGCCTGAGTTGCCCAACCTTCACACGTTGACGCTCAACAAGAACCAGATATCCTTTGGAACGATTTAACAACTTTTATTCTTTCCCCTCAATAAAGATGTCATTTAGAACAAAGTACAGGGGGGTTTGAACCACAGTGCCCTCTAGTGGAGGAAAGATTCAGTCTCGTCTTTATTTATAGCTGTAGCGTTAAATAGTGCGAAGGCTATTATTATCTTTAGCTGCGATGCTATTTTGGCTAATGTTTAGTTATTGGGTTTTTTTTAGTGTTTTTTTTTTGTTTGTGACATTTGAACGTTTTTAGTTTTTAATCTTTCCACTTAGTTAGTTAGTGATTTATTCATATATCAATGAAGAAAAAGTTGTTGATTTATTCATATATCAATGAAGAAAACTCCGTGTTCTCCGCTCGTCTCCACAGACTGATCACATCCAGAGTCTGTGGCAGTAAAACTTCAGTCAGACAGGCGTTAGCATCGATGCTAAAGCTTCACAACCATCTCAAAAACATCTTGTTTATTCTCTCTCTGGTTTACAGAGTAATTATAACGATGCAAACACACACACACACACACACACACACCCGAGGTCAACATTAAACCCGGGTTCTTCTTGAAGTGCGGCGTCTGTGGCGTCTGTGGCTGTGAGCTCTGGGTTCTCTGTATGAAGTGGTAGCCACATGCTAATAGGCCAATTATGTACATCCTGTGGTGGCGCTGTGCCATCTCAGCGCTGCATCAACAGACACTTGTATTTTCACACACTGGGGCTCAATCCTCCAACATGAACGTGTTAGCGATGAATGCGGCCGCTTTAGGCTCCGGTGTTTGTTTGTTTTTCACCATAAAGAAAAAAGAAAAAAACTTTTTCCACGCCGTGGCTCTGGCATGCTGGGAAGTGTGTGAAGCGCAGCAGGGCATCCATCATTTTGTCACAGTTCTGCTCAGAGGAAGGCCACGAGGAAATGAAAGAGAAGAGAACAGCCGTGTTGTGTCACGGCTGCAGAAGCTGCCACAACATTAAACTGCCCCGACTGCCCCGACATCTGCCCCACTATCTGCCCCGCTTCACCATGTGACTGTCTGAAGTTAACACACTGACACGGACTTCCTGTAGTGCCCACTGAGCCACCAGGCTGAGAAATGCTAATGTAATTAGCGATGCTGCGTGTTCTTGACATGAGGCTCGAGACACGTGATTGGTTCTCTGGTTGTTACATCTAACAGTTAAAGATTTCATTAGATTCATTATTAGCTGTTAGGCTAACGTGGCAACTTATTAACTGTCACTGGTATGTTATGTTTATGTTCTTTTTAATGTTATAAATTTATTTTTTCTCTGTTTTGCTAACTCTCTAACAAAAAACATATAAACAAAAAACTTAGCATAAAAACAGATGAAAAAAGAGAGGGAGAGAGAGAGAGAGGGAGAGAGAGAGAGAGAGAGAGACTAATAAATGCTAATTTAATAAAAAACACGATTTCCGTCCTTGACCCATGACCCCGTGACACCTGACGGACATCGAGGCCCTGTTGGATCACTTGGCTGACGTGGCCCCGGGGCTTCAGTATCTGAGTCTGCTGGGGAACCAGGCCTGTCCCAACCAGCTGGTCAGCCCGGATAAGGACGAGGACGACTACCAGAGATACAGGTCAGTGACCCGTGTGATGTCACAGGTCCGTCAGTGGACGGATGAATGTACCAGACACACCTGACGGTCATCAGATCGGGCTAACGTTTAGCAGTACGAACAAACCTGTGGCTACGTCACCGTGTACTTAAGACGCCTTTTTACCGTTCTGTCCGACTCTTGTCTCCGGCCTAACGTTTGTTTGAGCAGATCCTGATAAATGTGCAGTCATTCTGCCTCGTTTCTGTCAGGACTGACTTTGATCCAGGACATTTCAGCTCAGATCCTCCTAAACCCCCGTGATCCGTCCATCCTCCGCCTCCGTGCGTGTTAACGTTCTCGCTCAGACACCACTGACACAATTCAGACGGTGTTTTTGGTAAGTAATGGATTTGGAAACGTTCCCCCAGTGTTTCTGTGGACAAATCTGACCACCTTAAAAGCTTCTGTGCTGCTTCTGCAAAATGGATTTCATGTGCGACTGAGTCGCGACCACAAATGAGTGTTTACTGCTCCTGCCTCGCTCGCTCGCTCGCTCACCACTGAGCAAATAATGCATTAAACATCACGTCAGGCCTCCATCAGTGTGATGTGGCCACAGCTTGTCAACATGAAACGTCATAAAAGGTGGAAATCTCCAGCTCTTTTGTCAAGTCCTGACCCTGAGTGCTCCTGACGCCGCGCTGCCCATTAATCATTTATCCAGCGTGTCTTCAGTGACCTGTCTTCTCCTCCTCGTCCTCCTGTCTTTGCAGCCGGCAATAATTACATAATGATCAAATTTGGCCGCGCTAAAAGCACTCACGAGGAGCTAGATATTAGCCATCGTTAGTAGATTTAGCTCAATCTTTAGCATTTGTGGCTTGAATTACCAGACAGAACGCTTCAGGAATCAGTTAAAGTGGCTAAATGTTAACTATTGTTGTTAAGTCTGTGGCTAAATGTTAACTATTGTTGTTAAATAAAAAAAAAAAGCAAATATTGGCTGAATAATTGCTAATCGTAGCCAGTTATGGCTTAAAAAAAGGTCAAACCAAAAATTGCAATAAGCCTAAGTTCAAAATAGCTGGTTAGCAGTTTTGGTTAATAGTTAATAGTTAATAGTTAAATGTACTGGTTAAAATACAACAACCCTAAAAGCATTAGTGAAAAATGGCGTGGTTTTGACCATGTGTTCACTGCTCTCATCTGATTGGCTCATCCAATCCATAAAACATGACAGTGAGTCTGCATTCCTGTGATTGGACGACAGTTGGTCGAAGTCCTTTCATGAAGCAACAACTTCTGTCTAGTCTGAGCTGTGGATGTTTGTCTGTGACTCCTGACCAATCAGGGCCTGTCCTGGTCTGTAATGCTCTTTATCTTCTCTCTCTCTCTCTCTCTGTGTCTCTGTGTCTCTCTCTCCTCCAGCTGCTCTGTCTTGACTGACACTGTCTGCTCTGCTGTAATGTAATATTCATCACGTGTCACACAGTCGAGCATCACTTTGAGTCTGATGCAGATTTCATGTCTGACAGGGTTTAGACTGCGTGCAGGTCGTGACAGCAATGGCCTGGGGCCACAAACACCCCCCCCCCCAACCACCACTGACATCACTGACACCCCCACGGCCTCTGGAGCTTCGGCCTCTCATGTGAAATGTTGCTGCTCCAATTAGTCCGATGATGGAGTCGCAGACGGAGACGATATTGATGTGTTTTATCAGCCGTCGTGTGCAGGACATAAAACCAACACTAGGTGGTGTTTACGTTTGACTCCAAAGTCCCATTAGAATGTATTATAATTATTAGAACTCTAATCAATCATTTACTTAGTTTGGGCTCTTTACCTAACTTTAGGCGCTAACGTTTAAGGCTAACTTTTAGCCACGACGACACCTCACCCTGCTGATTTTCAGGGCAATTTTGAGCTACTTTTACTAACTCTTAGCTTCGTGTTGTATTTCTTTGCCTTTTGTGGCTAACCTTTAGCTTTTATTCCTACTCTGTCCCAGTTCCTCGATCACTTTTAACTAATTAGCTGCTATTATCGTTGACCGTTATCGTTCCATTTTACTTCCGTCTCTATCGTCCGTTCGACGCAGCACTTTTTATGTTTGTTAGCGCCCGTTTTTTTTCTCACCCTTCACAAACAGGAGACCTTTTTCGTCTCCTAGCTCCTTCTCTATCTACGCCTGCTCCTGAAAGGCTCTGTTGTCTTCCAGGTAGCGCAGCCATTATCTTTTGACATTTTCACTCTCACTCTCAGTGACAGACAGCGTGAACGCTCAGAGAGACGGAGACATGTGATGCTGTCAGAGTGACAGCTCTGTCAGACGGGCTGCGTCTTCGTCTTCCCTGCTATTTTTACGTCGCACTCCTTCCTAATGGCTTTGAAGATGATTACACGTGAAGAAAGAAACACATCACCATCAGATCTGCATCGGCGTAAAATCCTCATAAACACGACGTCTTTTCAGGTTTTTGTCGATTTACGCGTTAGACTCACTGTCAGTTTGACGGACGTGTCAGAGTTTACACCGTTTCCCAGGTTCTGTCTTTGTCTCTGCGGCGCTGCTATAGTAATGGCTTAGGTTTTTGAAGTGTCAGCTGTGACTGCACCTTGTGCGCCCCCTGCAGAGAGAACCAGACTGCAACACTGATACTCTAAATAACATGCAATTGATATTTAATCAACAGCAACGTGATTCTTCAACTCATCTCAGGAATGTGTTATCAGTTCCATCAGTTCTAACAGATGACTTTATCTAGAAACTCAAGATGATCAGCTCAAAGTCTTGGTATTTAAAAGACCTTATCCACCCTGTCTTTGTCTGTGCAGGTATTTTGTGCTTCACAAGTTGCCTCAGCTGAAGTTCTTGGACACAAGGAGAGTGACCAGCAGAGAGCTGATGGAGGCCGAGGCCAGAGGAGCCTTCATGAAGGTGGTCAAACCCAAGTCTGAAACTGTGAGTCAAACTGTTTGAAGTCAAACCTTCTCCTCTGTCTTTCTACGCTCTTTTTCAAGTGTGGGCAACCCAGATCTAAGAGGTGTAAAAGAAACATGAGGGAGGAGGTTTAATTAGCTGCTGCTGCTGCCGTTGTTGTTGTTGTTGTTGTTGTTGTTGTTGGACCATTATTGTGTCTTGTGCAGCAGGGTGTTGTTGTCTACTGTTAGCTTACTGTTAGTTCACATGGATCTTAATTAGCAGTCGCTCTGACACTGATGTTGCTGTTTGTTGAATAAAAATAAAAAAGGAGGCCAGGGTTTTTAACAGCAGCTTCTTCTGCCCCGCTGTTAAAACACTGAGGTTTGGTGCAAGATGTTTGACTATGTTAGCAACAGGTTGACATCAGTAAACGTGCGGTCGTCCTGACTAGAGCTGTGTCCGAGGTGACGGAGGAAAACCTAATGTTGACGCGTCTCTAACTGTTGGAGTTTTCTGACGGCCGGTTCACGACACGCGCTGCTGTTTGGCTGCTCATCTTCTCTCTCCGGGATTTTGTTGTTGTTTCCTGTCTGAGCTGAAAGGAGGAGCGGCCAGGGAGGAGCGGTCAGGGAGGAGCGGTCAAGGAGGAGCGGTCAGGGAGGAGCGGTCAGGGAGGAGCAACAACGACGGGAGAAAGAAATGTGTAAAGTGTTTCCCCCAAAAACCCAGAACAGGGAGCAGAGAATTCTGGAGCAGTATTTTAGGGAACGGGCCGTGATGGAACGTTGTAATATGTTCATTCTCTTTGAGGTCAGGAAATGAAATATTCTTAAACTACGCACGGCCTTTTAAACTGCAAGTGTGCGTGTGTGTGTGCGTGTGTGTGTGGTTTCTTTGGCTAAAAACATGTGGTTTACACTTTGGCTCAGTTCATTCTTTTCCTCACAGACTCCATACCGTAACAAGCTGCTGAAAACCCTTAAGTCAAACGGACCGTGTTCGTCAGAACAGGGGCAGAAAGAAAAAGGCTTCGTAGCTCATTTTAATTTTGACTTGAATTCTCTTCACTGTGAAGTCCAGAGCTGAATATTATATATAATATTATAAAAGAACAGTAACTTCATATGGAGAAGAAGAAGAAGTTCAAAATAAAAAAGTCTAAAAGGCCTTGAGAGAAACTAGAAGAAGCTAAAACGACGACATGTTTGAAGACGTCTGGTTTAAATAACTATTAGTAGCCGAGATCATTGATTGATTCATAATCAGTAACATCATTAGTTTTAAAATGGTGGTAAAACCACCGACACAGCCTGAATATTCTGTCAGCTTTTACAGAGAGGTCACACAGAGGTCACGGGGCGGGAGAACAACAGCAATTAAAACATCCTACTGACTCTCCTACACGTAAATCACCCTGCTGGCCACAAAAGAGTATAAACACACTGTAAAATTTTAAAGTGTAATTAATTCTGCTAAGATTGATTTATCGCCTCCTTCTGAGTCTGGAGACTGGTGGGGGGGGGTCGTGACCCGAGTGTCACGTCGGTTCCATATGATGGATGGATGTTTTTAAGTTTCTGGCCAAAGGCAAATCATAAAAGAAAACATTATTTTTCCCTTTTTTCTCCGTTTTTATGAGATGCTGAAGCTGCAGTTGTAAAAACAGTCCACGTTTGTCCAACGCTAATGAGACATCGCTGTCTTTCCATCCCAACATGACGTTTTCATAAACTTTGACAAACGGCACCAGAGCTCACGTCACTTTTCTTCTTCTCGTGGTTAAATTGTGAGTCATTGGTGAGTTTTATGAGTGTAATAAGACGGAGAGCCGGGATTGGCAGGATTCTCTCCTAACGTTCCGACCAGACTCTTCAACAAAAGCAGGGGTTTTATGGAACTTCAATTTGATGCATGTAGAAACAGGAAAAGCAAGAGAAAAAAACACACTCTTGTTTCCATCATTTTCCAAAATGTTATCAAACGTTCACCTTCTGTAAAATAAGAAGTTTTTATTGGACCACGACTGAGTCCCAAACCAACAGAAATCCTGGATTTTTTTAAACGTAAGTCCTTAATCATATCCAGGATATGGCAGATTAGTTATGGGTAATTTTACCAAAGTTTGCTATAAAGTGATAAAGATATAAAAGCTAAAGAAGAAACAGCTACAGGTTAGCCAGAAAGCTCACAATGAAAAACAAAAAAAAATCTCATGTTTGCTCAAAAAAAGTGGGAAAAAATAAGACAAAAGTTGCTAAAAGTGACTTCATCTGAGTGAACATTATCCAAAACTATGAAACAAATCTGACTTCAAATTCTGTAGCAAACACCCCAATATATGCCCAGTTGCCCATCTTAGCCAAATCTACTGAAAGTGAATTATTAGTGAAGTTAGCTAAAAAATTCAAAATAGTCCAAAAGATTACAAATTTAAATTATCTTTGAAGTAAACAGCTGATTTCTAAATGTAGTAAAAAAACTCACGGTGAATAAAGTTAGCACAACGATGAATAGATTGCTCAGAGTTCGCCCTAAATCTTTCTGACTACATCTATCACAGGATACCACAAAGTATTTATTGTAACATTTATTTTGTCTTCATCCAAACTCTGTGAGAACTAAGTCAACCCTCAAGTTCCTCTTCTTATCAGCTGATGGTTTTAATCGTTACGCGGAGCGTTAGCGCTGTCTTATCGGTCCAATCAGAGTGAATCCTCCCCGTTGGTCCCGGCTGTGAGTGGAAGATGCTGCTGTTCTAATGAGAAACAGCTGCTTCAGAAGACTCCTCCAAATCTCTCTCCTGTCACTGGGTGTTGACAGAGGGCATTAATCACGACTCTCACACAATCTCTGCTGCGCTTTGAAACACAGTCAGATTTTATCAGATAATTCAAACTGAAGTCGTTGTCGTTGTTGTTGTCGTTGTTGTTGATGTTTATGTTGTGTTTATAACGTTGTCCTATTAAAGAAGCCGTAATGAGTTCCCCTTAAGGGACTGGAATTAAAGGGGATTTTAAGTGTGGCCGACTGAGGTACTGCAATAAAGAAGGAAGAAGAATTTTATGACAAGAAACTGAAGTTTTCAAAATTTTACTACTGGAGAAAATTAGTTATTTTAGCTAAAAAGAAACTGCAGAAGCTGCTGCTTGGACTGCTTTGTTTTCTGCCTGTTTTCTGCTAAAGTTCTTAAATAAGACCACTAAAAAAAATGTTTTATGCTAAAGTTCTTAAATAAGTAGATTAGTATCATTGGTGGTCATTAGCATATTGGTTAATAATGTTTCATGACAATCAATGTTTCGTTGATCCGAAAATATCTTTGACATTTTTGGAAAACATTTTTGCAATATTTATATTATTTTTGAGTCCTATTGTTTTAGACAATGTTTTGGAAATTGCACGTAGTTTTCACTGGCATACATCTTTCACTAACTCGTAGCTATTTTAACATTTATTTGTTTGATTGTAATTGTTCTTGAAAAGTGACTAGACACAGAAATAGTTTGCAAATATATTCATATATATATATATATGAATAAAATGTATAACAATGTCTGCCAGAGTTGGTTAAAGCGCTGGTTCTGTTTGTCTATTTATAAGTAGGTCAAAACCCTTTTGATTGGACCCTGGCGCCTGGTGTAAATCTGTTGGTTTTCTCTCGGCGCTCGTCCATCACTCGGCGTTCCGGCTCATTTGAACTTTGATACCAGTGTTTGTCTGTCTCCTTTTGTACAGAGTGTTATCAGAGCAGGACACGTCTTTCAGCCGAGGACACAGAAGTGTCACTTCATTCAAGTTCTTCCTCACAGACTTTCTTTGTGACCTTTTTTCAGAGCTTGTCAGACACGTCAGGAAAGGTATATTGTTTCCATCCACTGGGATTCCCCCCCCTCCACTCCCTCCCCCCTCCAACCTGACATCTGCCACTCTCAGTGAGATGATAAATTCTTGCCTAATTAAGCGTGGGTGTGGGATTACAGGCTGACAACACATTAATCACTGGGCTGGGCCGGGCGGCCGCGACGACAGCGGCGAAGGCGACGGCCACGAGGCATTGTTAACCAAACTTTTCTAAAGTGTCACACCCCCCGCCCCCCCCGACAGCCCATAATCAATCATCCTGATTGGCAGGGCTGATAGATTACACTATTTATACTTTGTCTAATGAAAGCTAGCACTGTCGACCTAGTGTCAGCAGCGAGGCCGCGATACGGGCCGCGCCGTCTGAAGATGAACCAGAACAAGACCAAAAAACAGAGAAGAAGAAAAAAGGAGGTCATCCATAAAAAGTCTGGTTTGTCATTAGGGCCAATGTGACCAGTTTGGTCATTTAGGTTTGAATTACCAGCGGCAAACGTTGTACTTCCACCAAACCAAAGTCCAGAGAGAAAACCACTAATTTACAGAACATAACAAAACAGACCGAAGGCCGACTATGACGAGGTCTTCACTAACAGTTGAACAAGTAATACATTTTCTGTAATTGGATTTTTCAAACTCTTTAAAAAACAAAGACAGAAAACCTAAATGGGAGGAGCTTAAACCTAATCTGACAATTGAAATGAATTGGATTCCATTCCTTGACTCAGAGTCAGTAACAGTTCTGTCTCTCGATGCTGGAGATGACGTAAACCAAACCAATATAAACCATCACAGAACACTGGAGATGTCCAGTCATTTCTGGCTCCGTCTGAAAGTTCAACCCCGGTTCTTCAGCTCACCTGAAGAACCAACAGTGACTCCTGTGAACAATGATGGACTTCTGTACGGAGAGTGAGCTGTGGGATCGTTAAGTCACTCCTCCTGATTGACAGGTGGGGCAGCGGTGATGAAAGGCTGCCCGTTGACTGTGCTGTTATTGGGGTGTGGCTGGGACATTAGCTCGAAGGCAGACTTGACAAAAACGCCACTGTCAATGAGTTATTGTGGTGTGTTAGTCGCGGCGGGACGCGCTCCCGCAGGTGAAACTGACGCTTTTGTTTGCGAGTCGGATCCGGTTTACCCGTGACCCTGTTTGCGGAGGTGAAGGCTTTTGTTGT